CACGCCAATTACAATTATTATTTTGAATTTCGTTACTAACACCATTTCTGTTCTGCGATTTTGTATTGCTTTGCCTCCATGATTGCGATTTTATTGTGCTGTCAACGCTACGCCAAGTCTTTGTATCATTACGGCTCTTATTCCTCCGCCAATTTCGCGTACTACTTTCATTACCGCTACTTTGTGCAGTCTTAAAAGTGTCTTCATCCCCAACCGAATCTATTGCACTCTCAAAACCACTATTAGGTGAAGCAGAAGATTGACCCACAAAATGGTCACTCGATGTAGCGGCACTACTGCTTGCGTATGATACGCTCGATTGATCAGGTGATATTTGACCTTCAAATATTGGACTATTGTTACCAGATGACGGCGGCGAACTTGAAATGCGGGGTTTCAAAGTGAAGAATTTCTCATCGAAAAATATCGGCATTTCCTTACGGCCATTTCGATTTATTCTTACCTTATCGGTTATGGGATACGTGGCTATTGTGCGAGCCTCATCTAATGGCTGTTCTAATTTTGGACCCAATCCAACATGTCGCATCATAGCGATAGTTTCTCGCTCCAAATGCTCATTGTCGTTCCAATCGTCAATGGTTGGCTGCTCACCTAGTGGTTTGGTGCCTGCAATACGTTGCACTTGTGCAATTAGATTTAATTTATGGTTCTGAGAATTTGTAAAATTTTTTTCACGTTTAGTTTTCTCATTCTTTTGTTGCGCTATGAAATCCAAATGCGCTTTTGGACGGGGATAAAACGCTTGTGGTTTATTATCGCATAACTGACCAAAAATAAAATTATGATCTGGTTGCAAATCAACGATTTCCTCTTCAAAGTCGGTGGTTGGTACCCAAGACATGGCGAATTGAGAATTATTAAAAATACCAATAACGATGAACAGTTGTTTGTATTTATTGTGTGAACTCTGTAATAGTGAAGATAGTTAATTATAAACTAACAGAAGACAGTTAAATATAAACATCGTTTTTGCAATGGAAATTCTGTCACTGCAGCAAGAGCAACTTAACCTCAAATGTAGCGTCGCAATTAGCGTTAATAAAATACATTTAATTTTTACGAAATGTGTTACAAGTTATGTGATTGCAAGTGATTTTTCCATCATTACGTTGCAATTTCTTTGCAGACGCTGCACTTTTTCGCTTTGCAAAAACATGCACTTACCTCCTTTGCCAGTTCACCAAAAATTCCTTTGTTCCACGTACTCTTAAGGAATTACACAATGTAATCACAATAAAACTTTTACATAACAACTAGGAAGTAAATCCTGCCAATTATTTAATATTATGGTTATAATTTAATTAGCAGCTAAATGTCCAAAAGCCAGCGTTCCGCAAAATTTTAGCGAATTTCAAAATGTCTACTTTTTCATCTCTCTTTCACATACACTTTCGCTACTTTACGTCAAGTTTTAATGCGTTTTAAGTAACACTGGTGTGTTGAGGCAAACCTGAAATACAAGCAACACTGCTTTTTGGGACATTTTGGGACAATTTGGAAATACACGCAACTCTGCGGCCACGCATATACCCATTACCACATGGCATATGCTTACTTTTCCAGAAAAAAGTTGTTAACTAAGTTGCGACTAATTTCGAATTCGAGAATTACGAAATAATTGTTTTTATGGCTTTGTTAATTGATATCAATGTATATTTTTCTATCGTGCATACCAACTTCAAAAAAGAGACAGAACTCAAGTCAGTTACAAAAATGTAACTGCTCGTAGATCGTACAGATTCCACTCAATTGATACAAAAACAGGTACAACAGCAGGTTTATAGTTATAGAATATAATCATGAAGAAAATATAATTTTCATTAATTCGAGATAAATCCTACGACCGATTTATGCAAAAAAAAAAATCTGCCTATTTTTTATTTTTGCTCTTTTTGAAGAACGTGTGCGGTACACGTATACATATTATGAACTCCTAAATAATTTAAGCGAATCCCTTAAACTCGAAATTGGTTTAACAATTTCCAGGATAGCAAAACCCGTCAAAAGTTGTATAAAAGGCGATTTTCGCGTGCAAATTAGCAACGTGGCCTGGAAAGTAGTTCGTAAATTTCAGTTTCAGCTTTAGTGAATTTATTTATACAATTTGCACTTTTCACTTTTTCGTGGCATTTTGGAAATTTCTTTAATATTTACTTCAGCTGATACGATGTATCATACATATGAAGAAACTCTAACTGAACTGACGAATTTGGCAATTCAGCACTGTTTACGAGGCTACAAAAAGCTGCATTCCCAAAAACAACTTCAACAACTTTCGATATTTTCAAAAACTTTCGAATTTCCCACTTTTCGCTTTTAATGGAATTAACGAATTGAGGGCATATATATAAACCTGGTTGCACACGAGGCAATCGATGCGATCCCTATCATTTGAGGTTTATGCAGGCCAAGTTTTGGGAGACAATAGCAGTACATTCACACCTTTCTGGTTATCAGGTTATCTAGTTATGTGGATAAATTTTTTTATGCTTTCAACATTAAAATACACTTAACAATCATAATTTGTATCTAGATAAACAGGCATTTGTGAACATACACATTAACTTGTTTAATAATACATTCACGCTTTCATTTTCTTCGTAAATATCTTTAATTTAACGAACACAGTAATTTGAGCAATGCGGCAAATCCGGCGGCGTGTCGTTGTAATTTCGGACAGCGGCAAAATATAGTAGGAAAACCCGCACCGTGACCTTTTTTTTGTGTTTGGAGATTTTAGTAAATGGAACGAATTTTACGCCAAATGACACTAACAACGGTTTCTTAAAAGTGTAATGTCTTTCTAACTGTTTGTCCGCCTACTTCACACAAACATTTTGACAACTGATACATACATATTATCAGTTTTCTTGTCTTGTGTAAACTCCAGGTTAGAGGTGACGATTGAGGCAACACGTTTTTAATAACGGGGTTTACACGATCCAATATGTATGACAACATGGTGTAAACGTTTAAACAAAGGATTTAACACAGCTGTAGTTAAAATATATTTAGGAACTTAATTCGTAAATAAGTAGTGTGTATGTAATAATAAATTGAAACAATTCATTGATGTACAAGTTAAATACACTTCTTACATACCACGTTAAGGTTATTAAACTTACATAATTTTATTTAATTATATTAAAGAAGTATAATTTACTAGTTCCAAAACCGCCTACACGTTTTGTCCGGAGCACTAAGATACGGTTACCGCGACTGAGACTCAATTGCCGGCAGCGGCTTAAAGCGACAATACCATAGAGAATTCTCATTAATAATGACGAAAGTGCGTGAAAAGAGCAAAGAACAAGGAAAAATGCAAATAAGGCTGATCAACTCGTTTTTGAAATGTTCAAAAACACACAAATAAAATCTTGCCACATTGATGTGATGGGTACATATTTACATATGTATGTATATAGTACATACTTCAATATCGGTAACCACCAAAACGAGAGCTATGTACATATATATGTATGTATGTATGATTAAAGTACATTAACGAAATGAATTAAAATAAAATAACGAATAGTCTACAAATAAATGTCTGTATAACCAGTAAAAGAGGCTCTGGGCAACAGCTACTTCAATCTATCAAAATCAGCGAAATAAAATAAACTACATGGAAAAAGAGTAGGTACAAAGAGTCTCAACATTTCCATTCAAACGCAAATGCCATTGACACTGAAGTAAGCAACAGCCCAGTGTCTCGAAGCGGAGCGGCAGCCGTAGGCAAATCCAATGCGACTCGAAGCTGATTTCATGTGTGAACAAATACAAATGTACAGGAACGCACATGCTGGCAGCCAGACGAAAGCAGCAATGACTTTTTAATTAAAAGATACATTCGTCAGATACGATTTAGAATATTTACTGTGAAAAAGCGCTGTCGTTGGGACAGCGATGTTTCGAATCCGGAATGAGGTTTTCTACCGGTCAAAGCCACTTATTGCATACGTACATACATATTTTGATTTCACAAAAATAACTCTTTAGAGCGATTTGTATTCGAATGGCAAGCGATCGCTTGTACTTTTGGTAGATGCACTAATCCATGGTGTTTTATGCTCTTTAGCTTCACTTTAGGTATCGTTTAAATAATTGCCAGGGCATTTACGTGAACTACATTTTAACCTAAATGAAATAATTCAAATGCAAAGCGCGCGTACCTGGATTTTTGTAGGTTACCTTGAGCCATTCTTCAGTCACAAAATCGAAGCTTAAAACACGTTTCTTGAACTGGCTTCTTATTCAAACGCCAATTTAATTACCAGCCACAAATTCGATAATGAAGGTGATAGTTTCCACCAACGCTGGCGAGGAATGATTCAAATTTTTTTTTGTAGGTTCTCTTACTTCCATCTACGTACGTATGTATGTAGGCACATACGATGATAGGCAAGAACGCGTTAAAAAGCACTTTTAAACAAGGTAACAGTGCGGCACAGCAGAAATTGGGAAAAGATTTCAGATAGCCAAAGAAGACCAACAGGTAAGCGCGGCTTAAAAACCCATAGCCAAGTTAGTGAGCCAATAGATATTTGGTACCTACAGATTCCTCACGGGAAGCATCAACACTGGAGCCTCATCAAACAAAAGCAGTTCAATAATCGACGCACTCGCTCGCACACAGATATGTTGAAGGCGCCTCCAGCCAACGCGATCCTACAAATTTACCATCGTCCCATTGCATTCGCACACCAGACAATCTATGCAATTGCGCCAAAAAGAAAAGGCCAAAATCCAAAGACGTCAACTGCGGGACGGAAGAGAAGCCACCATCATCAGCACACACATCAGCAATCATTCATACAAGATTTTTTTCTTTTGCAAATTGTTTCACACTTTTAACAAATTCAAGCGCAATATTTATGGATATTTCATGTTCAATTACTTTTTATAACAAAAAAAAGAGTTTCTAGACAACTGGTGAAATATGCGAAAACTCTATTGATTGGCAAGTACTCACTCTTTGTAGCTTTTCCAGTTTTCCCTCAGTCACCGGTTGATGATCTCACACACTTTCTACTCGCTTCGCAATCTTTTTGCACGCCTGCATACACTTCGTGTTAGACAAGTTTTGTTCAGAAAATATACTAAATTTACTTGAGACAGGTTTTAAATGGTCGACTCTGGCTTTAATCACAAATTTGACAACACAGCAAACTATCGCTTTTGGAAGCACCAAGAAAACTGAGGGAGACATTTTTCGCACGAGTTTTTTTCAGGGTGTGCGAGATACACATTTTGTGATGCTGTCTAAAAATGTAGTAGACGAATGAGCAAAATAGTAGTCAGATGCTCAAGCTGTCAACAAGTGCTTGTCAAATTTCGGCTAAAGGCACTGTAATGGAATACAGCTGATTAATAGATACATATGTACATATAAGGGAATTTGAATTTCTCTTGCTTGGAAATAATATGCCACAAACGATAGAATTGTAAAAAAAAAATAGTTTATTGCAATACATTTTGTTGTGTGATTAAGTTTCTGTATCAAACTACTATGGTAGAAGTAATTTTATTATATCCCAAACATTTATTATAAATCTTATAATAGTCATAAAGTTCTGGGAAGAGTTTAACTGTATTTACTTACACATATTCACCCGTCATGACTCATGTGCTCAAGCAATTTGAACTTTTCCGGATTCATTTGTGGTTGCTTGGCAAAAACCGGTTTGTAAACAATTTAAAAGCAAACGCCCAAGAAGGTACTACAGAAATGAGCTGAGCGACACGTAAACACTGGCACGCTGCAGGTATCAAAAACCGGCTGGTACGTCCGTTGAGTTCGAAAGCTGTTTGCCAAAAAGAGATGACACTACATGCCTTAGTGTTATGGTTGGTTTGCCTACGCTTGTGAGATATACATGGGAGATGCCCCACCGTTTTAAAAAGTAAAATTTTAAAACGAAATTTGAAAATGGTAGGGACAAACAAAGTGAAGGAAGGGTATTCACACCATTGATGGAAAAGTAGATACAATTTTATAGCCTTAAAATATAAAGTAGCTTTTCAAAGGGTTTATAAATTGAAAAATGTATGAAAACGTCTATTTATAAAGCTTTTTAAACATACTTTATTTTTTATGAATAAGGCCATTAATTTTTCTCAGCCGTTTCTTGACTCAAATATAAAATTGGTGCAAAGCAGTGTTGGGCGTTAATCAATTAATTTTTCAATCGTCTTGTTAATTAATTAAAAAGGTAATTGCAATTAGATGAATATCAATTGAAATTTTAATTGCGCATTTCAATTACATTAACTGCAATTAAACTTTTAATTACGTATTGCAATAACCCTATCCGCTTTGAATT